TTTTAATTTGTCATTGTTATTCTCTCGTTTCTCGATCTTTGATATTAATTATAAATTAAGGGTTGTAAAAGGGTTGTAATTCTTGCATTCTTAAATATGAAACTTAATTATATTGTGTTACGTTGCGATGCTGATGAATGTTAATGGAAATTTTAACACGATGATTTCCTTGTATTTTTGGGAAGTTAGTTTAGACAGAAGGATTATCCTTTTATTATTGGCAGATATTTATTAAAATATGCACGATATGTTAATTAATTATAATTTTGCAATTTTGCACATATTGAAAATTCGCGATAATAACTATTATATATTTTTTTGAATTATTTTCGTCTTTTATTTCTTTTAACTCTGGTTTTTTTCGTACGTTTTTCGCGAAGCTCGTAAATAAAACTTTGATCTTTCAGAACTAATAAAATTATGAATTGGATTAGTTTTAATAAAAATTTTTTTACTTTTAGAGAGTTATATTTCATAGTTTAAAGCCGTGAAAAAAAAAGAATCAGAACTGATGAATCCTGCGTTTATGACACAGTGTGGAATACCAAATTTTTGAGTATTCGTTGCTTTTAGAAACGAGTTTAGAGGGAAGGATTATTCCTGTATTATTTTTTCGTTTGCGAGTTTTTTGTGAAACTCACGGAGCATTTTAATTGGTTATTGTTTCTAGCTTTGATCTCTGTGAGATAGCGAAATTAGGAATTGGATTAATTTTAATATGGATTAGTATATGGAGGAAAAAATTTTATTCTTTTTTGTGGCTTATGGTTTTTGAAATATTCGTCGAGGTATTCTGTGTAGATGTTAATGACTGACCTCTCCATTTTTGTTTTCGTTCTTGAATCTTGAAGTTTTTATGGTCATTAGTGGTATAAAAATCTTTTATGTTTTACATTACGAAGGGAAAAAATAACAAAATGACAGTGTCTTTCGTTTAAAATAAAATTCCATCGTATCATTTCCTCGTATTTATCTCGTTTTTGAATATTATGTAGCACGATATTGTCATTAACGATAATGTAAATCATTTCAACAATTTCAGCAACGTGTTTATTGAATTAACGTACAAAAAGAATGGAACATACACACAGTTCATCAATTGTCGTTATGTTTCACGAATACTTCATCGAAATCGGAATGTAAACGTTATTTTGAAAATTAAATATCGCTCGTGTTAAGCTTTATAAGTATGGTAAAAAAATATGCGAATTCCACGACAAAAGCACGAAATTTTTTTATAAGAAGAATTTTCATAATACGTATAATATAAATTATTTAACTTCATTTCGTATTCGACTAAAGATTAAATCGAAAGATAACCGATCAAATCTATGAAGTTAAGAAAACTGATTCAAACGAATGGAGAATTTCTATTAAGATGCATAAAGTTCCAAACTTAATCGATTACCGTTCGATTCTACATCAATTTTACTTCGTTTCCCGAAACTCCAGAGGACTCGAATCTATTTGATCTACTCTCGTTCCTCCCCTTCCCCTCCCCTCTTTCTTTTTTCCTCATTCATGCGGTGCACGAAATTTTCACCCTCAAATTCAAACCCATTAGCAACAATTGTCGTAAATAAACTTCTTCGCATAACGATTCAACGATACGATAACAAAAACAACAGTATTACGGTGTTAAGCAAATAAAAGAAGGAATACAAAAATATAGATATACATACGGGTACGCGTAAGTTCTACGTTACAGGCCACTCTGCAGAGGATTAAAATGTATTTGTTCAGTTAGCGGAACCGTTGTAAGCCCGCTATAGCACAGTTGGAA